TTTATGCTAACAAAAAATAATAAATTTTTATGAATTATGTATATTTGTAATTATGCATATTAGGGATGGCCTTACAAATTTCAATGGCTTTGATATATTGTGTATTATCAAGGACACGGCTTTTATTATATCATTCATGATTAATCGTCATTGTATGATTTTTAAAATTTTGTTGAAAGCGTATACAAATTCTTTGCAGATTTTTCTGTGGGAAAACCGTTTGTACATTTTCTTCCTGTTGATAAGTAGCTTTTCTCATAAGCTTTCTCTAAAATATCGGCTTATACTTCGATGCATGAAAGTATTATCAGACTTTTTTTAATTGACATAATTTGTGATAACATTATCTGAACAAGATAGTAGATCTATATTTGACAAACTGAACGTATAGAGAAAATCTGCCATTTAGAAACACGCTGACGATGTGCTTATCTTTACTATTTTCTGTTTGATATAGATTTAATAAATATCTGTGCTTCTGTCTACCGGGTGGCTCCGGCATCTGCGGTAAAAGTCGAATAGAAAAAGGCAGAATTCGTGACAATGGCTTTTCCCAAAAATGTCGGGGTGATATGCGGGGCACGTTTGGCGAGACCAGTTTCCGTTCCACCTTCCGAAGACGTACACAAGAATTTAACTCGACCGGGGTGTTCGAGATGGGCAGCATAGAAACGACTAAACATATCCCCAACGATCAAAAGTTACTTTCGTAAGTAATCTCCTAGTATTTTAAAGAAACACGGATGCTGATGAAAATTGCAGTGTGAGTGCAACTGCAGTCACTGTTGATAATGAATGATCAAAACAGACACGGCTTTCTCAAAACGATTGCTTATTACACATCAGGCTTTATATGAAAAAAATACAATGATAGATCTCGAAGACTCTATTCAGATAATTAATATTTCGACAATAGTTCCGAAAGTCATGATCGTCCGCTTGTAACTTTTTCACGTTTTAAAAAAAAAGATTAATTTGGAATTACACGCGTGTATATATACGTCGCAATTTATAAAGTTAACATCTTTTCAGATAACATCTTTTACGTATGATGTATTTGTGAATTCAATTTGCCTCTTTTTCCGAAGAAAGATTCCTTTCTAAAGCAAACTTTATGATAGTCTATGATATAATTTTTTTTTTTTTTTAGAGGGGTGGAATTGTCACTGAATAATTGAAAGAATGATTTAAACTATAATACTCATTTAAATTCACATTTTCTATTTTTGCAAAATAGATATTAATATTTATCTAATTTCAATAAAAGAAAATTTGCTTTTTGAAAAGAATTTCCTTTCTATAATAATTGTGCGAAAAAAGATAAACCATATATAAAAGAATTTATTTTTTCTACTATTAAAATATGAAATATGTAAAGCAATACTTTTAAAATACTTATACGTGTGCAATGTATATTACCTACTCAATCTAGTCGATATTAATTAGCAATTCTTATCTTTTCATATGTTTCTTGTATTTGAAAGAATCAAAAATTTATCTTCTATAAAAAAAAATGATAATATTGATAATATTTAATTTCTTTGTGTATTTATTAATATCAAAAACAACGAAAGCTAACTTTGTTTATTAATGCGATAAATAAGCGATTAGCCATTAGAAAAAGACAAAACAGTAAGAAGTACAACGAGATCCCTATCCTCTTCGTTACACTTCTTACAAGTAAGAGGGCTGACTCTCACAGAATTAAATTAAATCTTACTCTCTATAAGAGTATCATATGGGCGAAAAAAGCGTAAAAATACGAAACAAACAGTAAGGCAAGACTCGTTTCAAATCTTGATACCTTAATTAACTGTAAATAGTTTTAACATTTATTTTATATTTTTTAATTATATAAAAATATATCTAAATATACTCATCGAGTAAGAATAAATTCTCCATCTATTGCCCGAAAATTTATAGTATAACGAATTTGAGGCTATAATTGATCGATCCATTAGCCAGTACAATTCTATTTAGCGATTTTTTTCTCGTAGGATTATTTATATCTAAATTAGATTTATGATGTGCGTTCCATTCACTGATATAGTAGTATTTTAAAAGCGATTAAAATAATAAAAAAATCTCATCAATGTCTGCACTGGATATTAGATACTCTATGTCACTCTTTATGTACGGGATGTCTCAAAACTTTGGAATTACTATTTTTTACTTAAGTAAAAATCGATCAAGAACATTTAAAGAACTGGTTTCGAAACATCCTGTGTACGTACATCGCTTATGCGTTGTACATTTCACAAGAAAGCCTAATTTTAAGATATTTTATACATTTTCCACATGTGCTTTATGTGGCTTGTGAACTTTAGTAATAAAGATAACTTGCTGTATATATATATATATATATAATAATTTAACATATGAACAATGTTGTTATATTTAGATAAAATTTAAAAAAAAAATTTAATTGTAATTTCTCAGAAATTAGACATTTTCTCCTTGTCGGATGCTAAATTATCTAACACGTATATCTTTATAAGCGATCTCTCGGCTTAATCTGATATCATCGATGACCTAATAACCTCGCGAGATCAATCTGAGATTGCTTGATCCAATTTCGCGGACATATCATGTGAAGCGTAAGGAGACTCGTCTTCGATGATGATTAGGAGATATGCAGAGTGATTGGCCGTACATATTCGGTGTGCATATTCGAAAGCCGTGCGTATATATACGCCCCATGCGCGTGCATATATAGTCTGAAGTATCTATGGTACATAGTCGGAACCGTCGCGTAGAGCCCTTTGGCATTAATATGTCGCTATCTAGAAGCTGGTGGACAGATATATCGAGGAGGGTACATAAACGTGGCGAAGCAATAATCCGTTTCATCTTGCGGCACGGCTGGCGAATCCGGAATACGAGAGCCACACGATCCCTGGATCACGTGCGCACATGATCTATCCGCACGTACGATTCCTCGACATATCTTCCGTGAGTACGTCGTGCCGATGTTCTCGATAGCTCGACGGCCATCGATCTTTTCCGTATCGTACTGCGAATCCTTTCGATTAATCGTCGGATCCCCCGATCCGGATCCATTCCGCGGAGAAATTTTAACGTTTACTTCCCTAAAAATATGTCACTTTTCCATTCTGTTCGGCCGAATCCGACCATTTTTATAACTACCCGTAAAAATATTAAAATGCTAATATATCGCAAATCATATACGAGCTGTGTGATTACCGTAATGAGCTTAAAAGCTTTAAATGTGTGTGTATGTGTTGAATCTTAATTCTGTTTATATATACATTTCTAAAGCAGATATGGTAAATTATTTTTCTTAAATAACGATTATTTAAATTTACCAGCGATATCTGCTTTAAAAATATATATAAAAATAGAATTAAGAATTAAGATTCAACACACATTAATTTATAACTTTATTATAGTCACACAGCTATACATATAAAAAAAAAAAAGAATTGCATACATTGTTCAAACGGACAAGTAATGTAAAACTTGTTATTCTTGTCCATCCATTTACAAGCTACAGAAAAACATCGAGTGTTCTACTTTCATGATATTGATACACTCCCGCTTGAAAATAGATAGAGATGTAGATAAATTCCGGGGGGGAGGGGGGGGGGCAGTAAATGCATGGTAGAACAATAATGTCCCATTATAATAATTTAACATATGAACAATGTTGTTTTCTTGTTTTTGTGCAAATAAAAATTTTATTATTAGAACGTACACGGACGTAAAACATCATTCGTCGAACGTCATTTCCCAAGTCGAATAAAATGAATCAATGTGAAACTCCGCTCGCACGTGCCACTCGTCCATTCTTTTCAACAGGGCACGCGCAGGGGGTAGAGCGCGGGGAAGGGGAGGGAGGGGAGTCTTGCATCTGCCGTTCTTTCGGACCCTTACATGACGGTTAAACAGCGGATAGAAGGGTACCGATGGTAGAAATGGACGAACTCCCTCGCGCACATGGGCCCCCCTCCCTCCTTTCTCGACAACGGTCGTGAAAGTGAGGGGGTTGGTAGACCATCGACGTTGGTCAACGGTCGTTTTCATTGACAGTTCTTCGCGCGTCGTACAACGTACAGAGAGCATACAAAAAAGGTGCGGTTTCGCGAAAATAAAGAAGTGGCGGAAGAAAAGCGCTTCTTTTTCACGAGAAACGATTTATCGAAGAAACTTCGCGCGCGACAAACGGAATCATTAGTGCGCCTTCACGAGTGAGAGAAAATCTCTTGAAACATTCCGGCAGCGTCCGATAACGAAACGTGATACAACGGACAACCGATCCGAAGTTAAAGGACGAAGTTTGCAAACACGTTTCTGGAAGCAAAGGCGTGTGAGTATCATGATATCATTACGTTTAAATGACGATGCTGTAAGACGACCATCCGCATAGATGCCAACTTTATAGCTCCTATATTGTTGAACCTATCCGTTCACACCTCCCGTCAATTTTACCCTATAGTTGTTAACACATAAATGTTATTATATATAAATTTAACAAAAGATAAATTAAATTGTACTTATCTCCTCTCTTTGTAGAGAGTACAGATATTCTGAAACAATATTTTGAAACAATATAACATTTGTAGATTCTTAGAAATATTTGACGTAAAAGATATCAAAGTTGGAAACAGGGTCAATTAACTTGATTAAGTTTCAGTACATTAAAACAATTACATTGAAACAGAACGGATATTATACGGAGGCGTACAATAGCTCTCTCTATTATCTCAAATAATATTAGTTTATAATGGATTATATCGACATACAATATAACATATTGCTATTATTATTATATGTTTTTATTAAATAATCAAGACAGTGTAGATAATATTATGCAAAATTGTGAGAAAAATAGACAACCAGATTTCTTTTTATTTTGTAGGTAGACAGAATAAAACAAATTTTATTGGAATAATATTCTGTTTCTTGTGACTTGTTCAGCAAAAATTTATTCGTTGCGATTATTCAGAGGGGGGAACGCGATTTTTTAAAATATAAAAAATTCTTATATTCGCTGGATTACAGGTGGACAAGTGCCAGATCAGGTCATAATGAAGAGATGTTCATCGGTAAGATATTTATAATAACAACGGATATAAATATAACAATAGTTTTGTTAAATAATATAGTATTGGATGTATAGATCATTTAGAATAAAATGTATTACTTAGTATAGGATGTATACATAAACGTTTTTTCAGTAAGACATTATAAGATAGAAGAAAGAAGTAGATAATTATATTATTTAAAAATACATAACTTAATAAAAATTTTTAATACCTTATTCAACGTGTACAGGCACCTTGTTTAGAAGATGTTGGCGGTGACGCTAAAAGAACAAAAGGAATTACGCAATATACGGTAAGTTGAATTTATTAATTATCTTATTGCCAATAAGACGTAATAGCATACACAAGTCACAATTTGAATTAAAAGTTAGTAAAAGTTGTTGTAATAAGAGGAATCGACAAAGTTGTTATCTGTTAGCATTTATCGGAATATTTAATAAAGTTCAACAATGCTTATATAATCACTCTTTGTCCGTAATTATTATAGTTGTTTCTACTTAAAAAGCGGTATAACATCGCATTTAACTGAGAGTTGCTCGATTGTATTATAAAGCGAAAATTGAATTTAGTTTCAAGTTCTTGTGCAAATTTGCGAAGACAGTTCAGAAAACAATTCACTAGAAGCAAACAATCCAAGTATTGCCTCTCAAAACCAGACTTTTGCGGTTGATGTGGTAAAAACTCTTTTTTTTATATAAATTTCTTTATTCCGTATGTATATGTTACATATTCGATATAACCGAAATTTTATAAAATTTTGACAGCCTTATATAATGAAAAGTTTATTATTTTAGATTTAATTAATTAAAAGCTTGCGAAAATTTAAAAATATTTTACTTGACTTTAAACTTATATAAAAAGTCACAATGCAATTGCATTTGATAGTTTACTTTTTATCGTACAGATTGTTGTAGCAAGTTTAACCACAAAATAGTTCGGTTGTGACAGAAGCCAAACATATATCAACAAACACAAACACGCATGCTATCTTTTAGATTTTTACATGAAATGTAAAATATCAAAATAATATATCAAAATAATTCCTTTTTACTTTAAGTAATTTGAAAATAAAGATTTATATATTCTTTCTATTTATATTCTTTCTATTTTTTAAATTATTAAGTTATTGTCATGTTAATAATAAGTAGAACTTATATTATATATCTATCATTTTGAAAGTAAAATAATCTATATTGTAAAAAATTTGCTTAACGTCGCTATTAATCAAACCTTTTGCTCCATGTAATATCCGAGTACACGTTTCATATTCCCACAGAATCCAAATACAAAGGAATACCTTCAATTGGCTTTAGCCAGAGTCCTAGAATTACAACGAAAGATCAACGAAGGCACATACGCAGAAATCGATAATGACAATGATCTCGGTAATGCAAAACTTTCCTAGTATTTTACTTTTCTTCAAACATTACGTAGCTTATGTACGTTTGACATCATCAGCAAAAACTTTCACGATGTCCCAAAGATAAAAGTTACAATCACTAGCTTTTCCGTAAAGTTTTCCGTAAAGAGCAAAGTTTACTGCTACTTTTGATCAACACTTTATGTTGAACTTTTCAGTGTCACGTCAGAATGATTTATCCAAGCAATTAATTATCGTATAAAATAATATTTTTATAAAAGAAACGAGACTCTTTTTTCAGTTATTTATTTTTATATTATTTTATCCTATTAAAATAAGATAAAGAATTAAAAGATCACAGGACTTATATCATTTGTCACAAATATCTTGAAAGAAATTCTGTGCAAAATCAAATTTCGGATAATATAATAATTATACGAAACAACGTCAAATACATAGCGGTTAGGCGGAAATTAATCTTTGCAACGTATCTTGGAAATCTCGTCATGCGTGATTCTTGATGCAATACGACGCCAATACCGTATCATTCGTGCGATATATGGAGCGGAACGAGTTACATTATCGCCCAAAGAAATGCTAACTTTTTGCGTATATCGTAAATTAATATATCTCAGGAATAATGCATTTTTTTACAAGCAATAATTACCAATTTAAAAAACAATTCAAATTTTGGAATGCAATTAACGATATATATATTTAAGTATTGTAGAAAAAAATATATTTTATACATTTGTTGATTAATAATTTTCTATTTTCACATAAAGATAAACTTTATAATTGGCGATCGTCAAATTAGCCTCGGCTGAAATATTATTCTTATCATCGATATTATTTTACAGATGTCTCAGGCAGCGAGGAAGATTTAATGAAGGAAATTTTTGCCAAAGTTTTTCAAGATCTACCCGGAACGCCAAGTTCGATCGCTAAAATAATAGACGGAGAAACGCATTGGAGGAATCCTCTTACGGATGCAATACATAGTAAGAGAATACAATTATTAGGTTTCGATACTTGTCGGAGAATGGCTCTGGAATTCATGAAAACCATTGTGCGAGAATCGCGAAACAGATCTCCCTCATTAGAGGCCAAAGCTGATGATTTGGCGTTCCAACAAAACGAATCGTTGTATTCGAGAGATGAGATTCTGGCGAACGATTTGCGTAAACGGGAGTCGAACGCGGAAACTCGAGCGAGAATGTTGAGAAGTCTGGATTTGCATCTAGCCGCTAAACAAAGAGATTACACGGCTAAGTTAATGAATTCGGGTATATAGTAATTGCATACTCTTGGGTGGAGGTAAATCGGGAGCGGAAATTCTCTAAATTATATTCTGCAGGATATATCATATTTTCGGTATTAATGCAATGAAAATTCAGAGCATATATATATTCACAAGAATATCTTTATTCGATTGGCATCTTCTTCCTGCATAATAGCTTGTAACAAATGTGCAGGAATATTTTTTAAAA